CCGTTTGTCCATCATTAGCGAGCGGATCGGATACGGAGTTCGCGAACGGGCAGAATACGGAATAATGTGCTGTGGTTTTCTGAAAACGGGTCGCGTGCGGTCCGTATACGGTTCCTATTTCAACCGCGCGCGAACGCTGAGCGCCCGTAAAAAAAAGTTCGCGAATCACCTGTGTAATTCAAAGTTAAACGATAGATGGTCTTTCTATTACAGGTTTTACGGTGATTACACATTTTTGGGAACTTTTTGTGTCTCTTTTCCCTTTTTGTGTCACTTTTTGTGTCTCTTTTGCCATACCAAATGAAATGGTACCCCAAAATATCAAACTTCCATGAATTTTTCTAAATAGATAGTTTGAAAATTCAAACAGTGTTTGATTTCTGGCCTCTTTTCAATCATTTTTGTGTTTCATTTAATATTTAGGCAAGAGAGCTGCTGAAGCCAACCAAAATTTGATCATGGGCCGCCATACAGCCGTTTTTGGGACAGTGCCGACCAGAACCAGGCCAAAATCTGACCAGAAGTTACGAGCCTACAGCCGAACGCCTTCTTTCAGCAAAACATGATTTGACATCAAAATATTAATCCTCATCAAATTTCATGTTATATTATGATTACTTAATTTTCTAACCTTACCCATAAAACGGATTGTGATCGAGAAACAAAATTAGATAAAGCATTTTGAAAGTCGTGGATGAAAATCTTTTTCTCAGAATCTCAGAATCTACAAATTTTTCCTGATATTGAAAATATCAAAAGCCAAAAAAAACCTAGGATCTCAGACTCCCCAGACCATAAACCTCAAGCTGAATTTTATTTCCAGGACTTGAAAAACCCGAGAAAATACTAAGAGATTCAAAATAGGAGTTTTACAAAGTTACACGATTCCTAATTTTGAGCCAAAACTTCACTTCCGATCTTTATCACAAAACTGGTAATTTTCTTTTCAAATATTTCGATACCGTTTTCCGGGTAAATGAACTGTTGTTTGGGACTAAATGGCATTGTTTGAAGTACCCCTTCTTCTTTCTTTTCACATAACTTTTCTCTGTTTTTTCTCCATTCACACCGATCTTCCGTTGTTTCTCTCTTCCCGCCGGGAGAAGATCGGCAGCTAACGGAGAAGAAGAAGAATTAGCATTAGCCGTATCTCTATTTCTCAGATTCTCTCCTTCTAATCTCTAAAAGGACAATTTGAGTATACGGTGGCTTCTGGAAGAAGTCACGTCTTCATATTCTTGCATTTCTATAATTGACCGTTCCAAATGGAAATGCTATGCTAGTTAGTTGCAATGTTTCGGGATGACAGGGAAGTGTCAAGACGGGATAATTGAAAAACTACCAAGAAAGGATAAAGAAGGAAGAAAAATGGCAAAAAGAGAGGAAAAGCATGAGAACACACATACTTGATTGCTTTTTAATTTATTTTGGTGTTCGATGATCCATGACATCACTTTTGGAAGACTTCAGAGAGTTTAGAAGGACTGGTACAGTACAAAAAACCCAAATCTTAGGAATTCCTGCCTCGAGCGCTTTCAGGTCCTTGCCAATTAGGTGTACTCCAGATGACGGCAAAAATAAATTGAGAATTTTAAAAAGAAAACTGTAGCTGATCTTTACAGGTCAGCGGATGAAAAATATATCAGGAGCTATCAAATTTCTCAACGTCACAACGCCATAAGAATGCTATCACCGTAAAACATGTATTAGAAGGGCCTCCTAACTTCGAAATTTTGATTAATTTTCCTCTGTTTCTGTCAGAGATATTACAGAGTTGTCAATTGATAAATTGCTCATCATAATATCAGAAACGTCATGCAAGTTGACATACTTCTGGAATTCTGATAGTTCAGCCAAAAATGGACAGTGTGGGGGGCCTTCTATTACAGGTTTTACAGAAGTTAATAATTCGTTAATATAAGTTACAGGAATAGAAATACTGATTATGAGAGCCAAAGTTACGGTATGATGATGTGGCGAATTTATGAGCGTACAATTAAATCCTGCTCGTCTGAAAATCGCGGGTTTCCAAACGAAGACTAAGGATTACTTTATTCGAACACACATTCTTACTTGAATGGCACTGCTTAATAAGTTAATGACAAACAAGAACAACCGACTCCAAAAAATTAGCTTATCACAGAAAATCAGAGAATAACGGCAACGTGGCAAAGCTAGTTAGCCGATCTCGGGGAAAAGGCGACGAGATCGCAATATCGATGAAAAATAGTCTCCCTCTCGTTGTGTTGATAAGGATGAAAAGAGAAAAACGAAAAAGAAGCATCATCTCGGGAAAAGAGACTCAAAAAGTGGCTAGAGGATGCGCCCGCTCTCCTCTCTGATCCTCGGGCCGCCTGCAACGTCTTCTCGCGGACCGTGTGAAACCGGTCTGCCGCCTTCAAGACACGATGGCAATATCCAGAAGAATAGAGGAAGAGGAAAGGATGAAGCTGATTTTTATTTCCTTTTTCTCCCCTTTTTCATCGTCTACCAACAACCAAAAGTAGGCATTCTCTCGCAACACAATCACCGGAATATTCATGAGGAACATTTGATTCCGGAAGAAACAAGAGGAATAATGTGAATGGAAACACGATTTGTGTTTGAAAATGCTTGAGATGTTACTTGAGACTGTTTTGAATTAGAGTTCAAGTATCTTCATTAAAAATTCAGTCGGAATATCCAGAAGTTGAGATGTTCTGGGCTTTTGCTGGATCATCTGAAGTTTCAACTCTAGAGAAAGAATTAATTCATTCTGAAAGTGTATAGGACCAGTGTCTGGAAAATGATGGGACAGGGAAGACAACGTTCCAAATAACCTTAAAACCTGTAATAATAGGGCCCCGCACTGTCAAGTTTTGACTTGAACTATCTGAATTCCAATGCAAGATATCAGAAGTATGTCAACTGACAAAACACTTCTGATAATATGATTAACAATTTATCGAACAACTTCTGTACATCTTTTACAGAAACCGAGACAAATCAACTCAAACTTGTCTGTAAAACTTCCTTCTAATACAGGTTTTACGGTATGCAATTAGAGTGATACAATACCATAATCCCGTTTTTCAAAAATTTCAGAAGATCATTTCTTGAGAATCTCGAATCTTTGTGTTATTTATTTCAACACTGCGTCAAGTTTCCAACCCCAATCTTTAAATCCCAATTTTCGAAGTATTTTTATACCCTGCCTTCAAAACTATGGTATTTTCCAAATCGTGTTTTTCCGATCTCTCTGATATCTGATCCCCGCCCTTTACCATACTGTCTCAATTTATGATTCTTTACATTCAATCTGAAATAAATAATGATTTCAAACAAACTCTGAAAACCTTTAGATAACTTTTTCAAAAATTATCAGAAACAAATAAATAGCTTTTCTCACAATGAAGTCGTTGGGCCAAATAAGTGCAGAGGGAGATGGAAGTTAATAAAATGAGATCAGTTCCATTTTTACAGAAAATGGGATTCAGGTTACATATTTGTAGCTATAGCTAACGGGAGGGAAACGGGTGCATAGATAAAATGGGTGTCGGATGAGAGTGAGGATATGAGGCTGAGGATGGAATTAAGTCCATGCAGATCGTTTGACGTGGAAAAGTGGAAGAGTGTGGGTCGGATCGTAGGCATTGGATGGGTCGATTCCGAGATGTTGTTGGAATCTAGAAGAAGTTTTCCTTGTCTCGAGAAGAAATCTAGATCCCTTACCTCATTAACTTTCTCTGCATGAAGTCCGAGATATTCACCGGTGGACGCATCGTTCCCATTGCCTGACGGACCTTGGCAACCGCCTGTTGACGTGGAATCTGCTCTTTGCTCATCACATAAGCTGCAGCGAAGGCTGGTGCGCTGAATATTACCCTATGAGTCTGAATTGTACAAAAATTCTATCATACCGATTTCTTCCACGAGTACTGCACACGAGCACACTGCGATTGGCACGACGAGCACGTTGCACCAAGTCGATGAATCCATTAAACATGTCGTTGAGATTGGTCTCCTCAGTGAGCTGAAGAATTTTTTAAAATGTTTTTAAAAAATATTCAAAATAGCGAACCTGCATGCAGCGTTGCTCAGTTTCTGGAAGGCTATAGGAGAGAAAGTAGCGGAAGTGACTGCTGGCACGATTGCAGAAACATGGGCACTCGAATCCACGATTTTGACGTCTGGAATCTCTGTTTCAAGATCTGTAGCTATCGATATTTAAGCAGTACCTTGACTCTTGGACGTGGTCAGCCGATTCATCTGCAATCTCACAGATGAATTCAATATTCAATCGACACATAAGTGAGTTATTGTTGACCGAATCAATTGACGATGCAAAGACACCGTCGTCGATTTGCCAAACGACTTCATCAATGTATAGGGAACGGAATGGGCTCACTCCCTTCTTCTCTTCCTCTTTTCCTTCTTTTTTCACACTCTCCGAAGTGGAGACTGAAGCAGTCTTGACTCTCTCGAAAACGTCTTCTGGCCCATCTTTGGCAGAGAATGGTGGAGAAATTGGTGAGAGACCGTAATCTGGAGAGTCTCCATCCGATTCAATGACTTCAGCACAAGAAAGGGAATGAGGGGTGCGTGGAGTCTCGTTCATGTCGGTTTCGTCAGAAAGTATCGAGACAGTATCTTGCTGGAAATTTGAATGGGTTGTAACAAAAGGAACAAAAGAAAGAACAACATGAAGGATGCATGCAACATAAACGTCTCTCTGTTCTTCTTTTTTTACTATAGAATCAACTACATCCTTGATTTTCTGACTTATTTTTCTCACTCAGATACTAATCACTCATTTAATGAACTTTTTAGTCCTTGCATTTGTCATTCAAAACTGATTCACCTATGTATATAAAAATTCTGATTCATTCATATCAAATTCTTCGAGGAAAATCACTACCGTGAAATGATAAAGCTCAGAAACCAACAGCTCAAGTGTAAACAAAAGTTGCTCACATGTTGAGATAATTATTAGCTACTGTAGACATGAGTAACCAATAAAAAATGATGTGGAACTAGAAAGTTAAATCAGCACCGAAAGTGAAGAGTGTAACTCTCAGGAAAGGAGGATGTCTAGTAAACAAACGGGAATACTTTGGAATTTCAGATTGCCAAAAGCCTAGATGACATCAACAACCACGTGTCTTTAGGATCAGCCAATTCCAGACACATTTCGTGCTCAATTATTTTTCAATAAACTCATTCCCTCCAGAATCGATTTCAGATTCAATTTGTCATGTATCTCTATTTATACAATCAACCTTAACAGCTGTTTTCACCTGCTGTCTCCAATTGCAATCACTAAACATTTTGCTGGAAAAAAGCGTGTCTTAAATTTTCTGAAAGTTACTCATGATAACTCAATTTGTACTTTTTAGTTCCCCATTACTCGGAAGCAGAATGTATCCTTAGATTAGAAGAGCATTATGAGTCGATGAGTTCAAAACGAATTTCTAAAAATATGCATGTTACGTGATAACTACCGAAACGGAAATTGGAATCTAAAGATTAACGAGAATAGTGCATGCTTTAGAAGAGACAGAGAGAGAGAGAGAAAGGACTGCTCACAACGGAATGACAGAATCCCTGCCAACGACTGGTTGATTTCGATTGGCGCACCTTGGCGGGAGCCACTTTAATCACTCGTCCTGAGCTTATTACGGATTCGCTTTGTGGTGTTGGCGAATTGATGGAAATGATTGATGATGAGCGGGATGAGCGAGAGGCTGAGAGGGTTGGTGTTGGGGAGTCTGAAAGGTGGTTACCGTACCGTAATCTTGAGGGGCAAATAGTGAGCTTAACGAGGAATAATGTACCTACAGTAATCTTCAGAAGTCCTCACTCACCGACAGTATCCGAGTCTTTACACAACATCCGACTGAAAGTGTTATTCTTATTAATCAACGAATTCATTTGCTTGCTGTCCAGTCCTGGTGTACTTCCAGCACGCGCACGAAGTGTCAAACTGAAAATTTCAACGATTGTTTTCAAGTCCAAAAATGCATTGTTTTCGTGATAAAATGATATCTTGAAATTCATATTGATATCACACTTTGACTACCAATTTCAAATTCAAATAAACAACATTTTGTAGCATTTGTTGAAATAAAATTATGAGTTTTATTGGTGCCGGGTAGAGGAGTTTTGGAGAGAAATGTTCAAAACATCAGGAAGAAATACTTAAATTTCAAGAAATTCGATGTTTCAATTGCTTCAGATCTCGTCCTATTCTATTCATATGAATCATGTTTGGTCTATAATTATCTATTCTATTTTATCTCCTCTTCTTGGTATTTCTCATTATCTTTATCACTGTACAAGTTCAAAGAAAAACAGAAAACAAAAGCTGTCAACAACCAAAATCTATGTATATTTTTAACAAGACTTTGTAGCCTCATTGTCCTACTATTTTGATGATCAAACTAGTCTCATTTTTAGCCGTTCATAAGAAATTGGTTCAGCACTTCAGACAAGGGCAAAAGTTCGAATTTTGAAATACCGTAAACACTCTAATAGAAGCTCACCCTATACGTGCACTTCGAGCTCAATTGTCTCGGTTTCTGTAGACGACATCAAAAAGTGCTCAACTGACAAAATTTTTATCATAATATAAAAAAATTTTGTCAGTTGACCATTTTTTGATATCTTCTGTAAAAACCGAGATATATGAGCTCAAAGTTGGGGGTTTGGGTGGCATTTAGAGTGTTTACGGTATGTAATATAATAACATGAATAAGTTATTGTGCAAAACATAAAAGTCTAAATATTTAGAATTTTTTCAAATATTTAGAAAAATAGGCTACGCGCCTGCTTGAAGGAAACTTGAAGATATGTCACTTGAAGTTGTGTATGCTGAACCAGAAAAAGTAAATCAGCAGGGAGAAAAAAAAACAATTGTTTGGATTCGTAATCCATAGAAACCCCCAATTGATTAATTGATAAAATACAATAACCAACCGAACCCATAAAAATACAGTGTTCTATAGATCTACCGTAATGCTTCAAAAACCCAGTGATTTTTTCAAACATCTACTTACAATAACCTTGCAAAAGTCCCAGTGATTTCTTGAAAAAATCTACCGTAACTCTTTATAAATCCTACCGATTTCCAAAAAAACCTACAGTAATCCTTCAATAAAACTACAGTAATCCTTCAATAAAACTACAGTAATCCTTCAATAAAACTACAGTAATCCTTCAAAAAAAAAAGAAGAGATTTGCTTACAAGGAATCCTAAAGAGTTCTGGCTGCACCCTGTTTTTCAAAACCTCTCTCTCTCCAGAAACCTAGACTAGAGAAATCGGAAGTGCATCTTCAATACGACAAACGAATATAATTTGAACAAAATTTAAAAAATTTCACTCGAATGAATGATAATTTCTGGCGAAGCTGAATATGTTTCAAATGAAACTTGCACTTGCTACCGTAAAACCTCTAATAGAACGACACCCGGATCGTCCACTTTGAGCCTATATATCTCATTTACTGTGAAAGATATCAAAAAGTGGCTAACTAGTAAAATGTTGCTGATATCCTGATAAACATTTTACTAGTTAGCCACTTTTTGATATCTTTCACAGTCCATGAGATATATAGGCTCAAAGTGGACGATCCGGGTGTCGTTCTATTAGAGGTTTTACGGTAATTTGGTTATCAAAGTTATCAAGATTTAGTCATCGGAGAAAAATAATCATTGATGAGGTGCAAAAGTCTTGTTATAACTCAAAAATCATTCTAGAAAAGACCATCGGGTGACTTTTTGAACAGCAATTATATGTCAGCTGTGATTAGAATTATGCACTATTCCCAAAACAATTTATGGCAGGTTTTGAGGACCACACGATCCTTGGGATTAAAACTCCACTTTAATGAATGAAAAACTTTGTTTTCCCACAACTCACGGCTTCAAACTCGATGGATATGTCGCTGATTTTGAGCTCCCTTTCATTCTGGGGAACCGGTGAATCTAGTCGAAGAGGAAATAATCTGAAAAAAAAGCAGGCGATGGTGTGGTGGGCGGAAGGAAGAAGAAAAGATCACAAATAGAATGAAAAAAAAGAGATAACACAAGAAGCCCAGAGATATTAAAATTACCCTATAATTTTGGGGGGATTGGATGATGTTGATCAACTCGGGGGCTCGGATGAGAATGACAAATGTGGAGAAGAGTGGAAACAAAAAAAGAAGGAGTAGAAGAAGAAGGCGGGTGTATCAGCCAGTTGTCGTTTTGCACTCCGCACCTACTTCTTCTTCTTCTTCTCCTTCTTCTCCAAGAGACTCCAGATATAATCTGAAAGTCGTGTCGCTAGGGGCAACACTCGGGGAGAAGAAGATGGGGAGAAAGTTCTCGAGATTCAACACAGGCACGCTGTGTCTCGCTATCAGAAACCACAAAACTCTCTTTTCTTCTCTTCTTCTTCTTTGTGTTGATTACATGTGGGTGAGAAGAAGATGATGATGAAGTTGATAAATAGAGCAGAAGAAGAAGATGTAGAAGAGAAAGCGCAAAAATTGGCAACTTTTGTTTTAGGATAATATCGATATTGAGGGGATGTGTTTTGCTAAAAAGTAAGGGGTTGAGGAAACGGGAAATCGAAGTCACCGGCGGAAGAATCTACAGAAACCTCTCAATAAATCTACCGTACTCTTTCAAAAAACTACCGTAACCCTTGGAAAGAAACAATTGATTTCTTGAAAAATCCTACAGCAACCCTTCGAGAATCTGAAACATTATCTCTCATTTGTCAAAAACTACAGTAATCTAACGTCAAATCTTCAGTAACCCTTCAAAAGAACTACCATCCCCTTCAAAAAACCTATTGAGTTCTTGAGAAATCTACAGTAATCCGACGAAAAATGTACAGTGATTCCATCAAAAACCTTGTGCATTTTCTTTCCTACGGAAAAATCAGCAATAAATAATGCTACAATAACCCTTCCAAAATTTACATTAACCCTTTGAAAAATCTACCGTACCTTTCAAAATCTCCAGTGTCTTTAAAAAATATACAGTAATCCTCCAAAAGTCTGCAACCCTTGAAAAGATCCATTGACTACTTGAAAAAATCTACAGTAATACAACAGAAAATGTACAGTAGTTTCTCAATAAATCTACAGTAACCCTTCGAAAATCCCAGTGGTTTTTCGAAAAATCTACAGTAATCCACTCAAAATGTCTACAGTAATCCATCAAAAAATCTTCTGTAATCCCTCAAAAACCGAATGTCTTCTTGAAAAAACATACAGTAGTTCAACGAAAAAATATCCAGTAATCCAACGAAAAATCTACAGTAACCCTTCAAAATATTTTATGATTTATGGGGAAAAAAACTACGGCAACTTTTCGACAAATCTACAGTAATCTTTCAAAAAAAACCCAAATGCTCATTCGTTTTTAAAATATCTACAGTGACTCCTTCGATAAACTCCTAATCAGTTTACAAGCTAACTAGCAGAGACGTTCGGATTCCGGATTCCGTATTCCGTGAAAAATACTTTTGTCCGGATTCCGAGAAAAAAATTTTGATGCAGTTGTTAGGTTAACATGTTATTTTTTTTTAAATCAAAAAGTCATTAAGTCACATGCATATTCATTCAACCACATATTAATGAGAACAATCAGTTTACTGCTTCTTCATGAAGAACACTTGCTTCTTGTCGAACTTGACTTGTGCCTCGGCAAGCGCTTCCTTATGCTCAACAAGTGATCGTTTGACCATTGGAATTGGAGCAATTTCTCCGCTTTTCATCCAACCGGAAAGATCTGCATACATCTTCTGAAGAGCACTCACGTCCTTCTGTGCACGAATCCACGTCATCAACCAGAATCCTCGGAGAGAAATGTCATTGAAAATGAGAGGAGCAGTGGGGGCCTGAAAAAGAATCAGTCAATGGGAATGTACAGTAATCTGGATTATAATTTACCTGTGTTGGCTGGCGACTCATTCCACCGTACGTCACCATACATCCGCCTCTTTCAAGAGCTGTAGCCAAGTACAGAGAACTCTTTCCACCAACTCCATTCAAAGCCAGCTTGGCACGTGGCATCTTGATCTTCTTCTTTTTATCATACAACTCCTCTTCTGTCACAACCTCATCTGCTCCCATATCCTTCATCTCTTTCACCAGTTCTCTCAAATCTTCTCTATTTCGAATGACATTAAAAGTTTTGAATCCGAGAATCCTAGCGATCTGAAAGAATTCCAGATATCAAATCAAAGGATTCGGCTCCGAAATTTCGAACCTGGATGACCTGTTTTCCGGCTGCCAAGTTGGCACAGTTCTGAACCACCCAGTCACCCTTATTCAACTGAGCGTACTCTTTTAACATGAGATACGCGGAGGGTGGATTCACTTTGAAAAGAGCAGCATGCTCGATTGGAAGATCATTATCAATTTTGATGAGATGCTTCTGATCGTAGATCCCAAAGTCAGTCCATGTTCCAGGGATGTCGTAGGATGTGAGAACCTGATCACCTGGTTTCACAGATTTCACAGCCGAACCGATCTGAAAAATTCTTTTGTTGAGCCAAACTACAGCGTATGATCATGTTTCAAAAATGTTAAATTTTCTGAATTCTGTGTTTTCACCTGCAATTTTTTCTAGACTACAAACCTTGCTCACTCGAGCTGCTCCCTCCAATCCAGCAGCAGCTGGCAAACTTGGTCTCAATGCGTACGTCCCTTGAATCTGATTAATATCGGCCGGGTTGATCGGAGCCGCCTGCCACTCGATTAGCACCTCTTCCGGTGCCAAAGTATCAGCCAATTCAATTGTTCTCAATTGAACCACCTTCTCCGGCTTGCCACGTTTCTCATAGAATAGTTGTCGAGTAGAGAGCGATCTCGAAGCGAGCGAACGGAAAGACGAGTTAAGCTTGAGCATCTCGAGCGATGAGGAAATTCCGAAAACAGAGACTAGTGTAAACCAGAGGAATAATTGTGCGAACCGGTGAAATTTATCATTGGGCACGTTGAAAAAAAAAAACAAAAAAAGGAACATAAATATGATACAATCAAAGTTGCAAATCTACACAAAGGCATCAGATAACCTAATTTCTAATTTAATCGAGAAGGAACAGTTGCTTCTTTTCGTGCTTATTTTGTGCATCCTCAATTGCTCTCGCATGATCTTCCAATCGATTATTAACGAATGCTTGTTTTTTCATTTCTCCACTCTTCATCCATTCAGCCAACTCCTTGTACATCTCTTGTCTCTTCTCTGGTGTCTTTTGAATATCATACCATCTCGACATCCAGAATCCACGAAGTGAGATATCCTTGAAAATCAGTGGACCAGTTGGGCAATCTACTGGCTGCTTGCTCATTCCTCCATATGTCACCATGCATCCTCCATGATCTAGAAGACTAGCAAGAAATAGTGAGCTTCGTCCTCCGACACAGTTTAATGCGAGTTTCACGCCAGGAAACTTCTTCTTCCTTCCGTACAATTCCTCTTGAGTAATCACATCATCTGCTCCAAGATCTTTCAGCTCCTTCACAAGATCTTCCAAATTATCTCGATTCCTAACCACATTCACTGATTTGATTCCAAGGATACGGCAGATTTGAATGACTTGCTTCCCAACAGCAGAATTCGCTCCATTTTGTACAACTGTATCTCCCTTTTTCAAGTGGATGAAATCCTTCAACATGCGGTATGCCGTTGGAGGGTTTACCTTGAAAAAAGAAAGTTCATTTTCAGAATAAATTTTCATATATTCTTACTTGAAACACGGCTGCATATTCTAATGGAAGCTCATTATCAATCAAGAAGACGTCAGTTTCAGAGTGAAGACCAAGTTCTCTCCATGTTCCTAAACCTGACTTGTTCGGAATAACATGATCCCCTTCTTTTACTGATTTGACGTTAGATCCAACACTAATAACTTTCCCAAATCCTTCGTTTCCTCCAACTGCAGGAAGAGTTGGCTTGACAGGATAAACGCCTAAAAAGGGGTCCTTTTCTTCGTCTTTAGTCAAGGATTCTGCTACCTTGAATCTGATTCAAATCTGCTGGGTTGATAGGCGCTGCGATCCATTTGACGAAGACCTGGTCAGCTGCTGGCTTGTCTCCGATGTTGATGGACTTCAATTGAATAGCCTATAATGTGGTGTTTTTAAAGTGTTCCCTCAAACGAACCGAGTACCTCTGGAGGATTTCCATATCCTTCATAGGCCAGTTGTCGAGTGTGAACCGCTCTTTGAACTGAACAACGCAAGTTTTTGATTTTTAGCATCTGAAAGGATTTTTTATGATCTTATTTTTCTCTTTTTATAACTTATAAATATCAAGCTCGAAGAAAAAA